GACACCTTTAGGACTTTCTTCCCAGTTGTCTTCTTCAGGCTTCCTCCTCTGCACCCTGTCATGCCAAAGCCTCTCACACTCAGGAGTTTCTCCTTCCAGTAAGAAGGCCTGTGTATGTATTGGCTTAGGGGGATGGGAGGTGAGGGTATGATGCCTGTATCAGCTTACATAGCCTGAGAAAAAAAGACTGGCTTTTTGGCTTCTAGTACCTCCAACTTCTCTCTGTCCAAAGGATGGGGGGGCAATCCTGGGTATGGTGGCTGGTGTGCAGGATGAGACCTCTGGACTGCAAACAAAGGCATTGCCAGCAGAGCTGAGGGAACAGGCCCAAGTTTGGAGTCAGTGGACTAGTACTGGGGGAAGACATGCAAAAGTCATCTTCAGATCTGGACCCTTTCATTTCACCAAGTCATCTCTTCCCCCTAGAGCAAACTCATGCAACCCACGGCCTGAGGAGTACATGTGGCCCAGGACAGCTTTGAATGCGGCCTGACGCAAATTTGTAAACTTTCTTAAAACATGAGATACTTTTGCGATATATATATTTTTAGTTCACAGCTGTCAGTGTTAGTGGGTTTTTGTTGTTGTTGTTTAGAGGACATCTCGCTCTCTCAGGCTGGAGTGCAGTAGTGTGATCTTCGCTCACTGCAACCTCCCCGTCTCCCAGTTCCAGCGATTCTCATCCCTTAGCCACCTGAGTAGCTCGGATTACAGGCTTGAGCCACCATGTCAGCAAATTTTTGTATTTTTTTTAGAGACGGGTTTTCGCCATGTTGGCCAGGCTGGTCTTGAACTTCTGACCTTGTGATCCACCCTCCTTGGCCTCCCAAAGTGCTGGGATTACGAGCATGAGCCACTGCGCCTGGCCCATGTTAGTGTATTTTATGTGTAGCCCACAACAGTTCTTCCAATGTAGCCCAGGGAAGCCAAAGATTAGATAACCCTACTTAGAGTCTGGCTCTGCAGAAACTCCCAGGCTTCAGGAATCTACCTCATCCCACAGGGCCACAGGGTTGCCTTGGGGGTGTGGTGGGGTTGCCCTACCCTCTTTAAATGCCCTAAGAGTCCTGACAGTTACAGATGGGTACCCTCAGCTGCAGCTCAGCCCTACTGAAGCATTAGCTCTGGAGCGCTCTAGGGCAGTAGCGGGTAGGGAAGAGATCTTCTCTGATTGAAAATCTGAAGAGAAGAAAATTGTGTGGGCCCGCCAGATGCAGTGGCTCATGCCTGTAATGCCAGCACTTTGGGAGGCTGGGGTGGGTGGATCACCTGAGATTGGGAGTTCGAGACCAGCCTGACCAACATGGAGAAACCCCATCTCTACTAAAAAGACCTAATTAGTTGGGCGTGGTGGTGCATGCCTGTAATCCCAGGTACTGGGGAGGCTAAGGGAGGAGAAGTGCTTGAACCGGGGAGGCAGAGGTTGCGGTGAGCCGAGATTGCGCCATTGCACTCCAACCTGGGCAACAAGAGTAAAACTTGGTCTCAAAAAGAACAAAAAAAAAAAAAGAAAATTGCGTGGGCCTGTAGCCTTTTCTTTGTATCTCTCAGCTCTTTCCCCAAGGACGTTTTCCCTGAGGTTTCATCTAAATCCTCCCAGCTGTGGTTCTAGCCCACTCTTGAGCTCGTGGTACATACTGCAGACCCCTGAGACACCCACCTGTGCAACCAGTACGGGAATAGACCAGTGAGGCGTAGATCTGTGGGCCAAGGATGAGGAAACCGTATCAGTTCAAAGTCCATCACAAATCAGCCTCTTCATCCCTCTCAAAGGTCAAAAGCATGACGGGGTCTGGAGGAGTGTTGGCATCTTCAGGGAAGAAGGCAGTGAGGATTTCGGAGCAGTCCACCCTCCTCAGTCACATCTCAGATCTCCTTGCTGAAATAAGGTCTCAGCTGGGCCGACAGAAAACGAGAAACCTAGGCATCTGTAAGAGGTGCCAGGCCTTATCCATTCCCCTGTGTGTCCCTCCATCCCAAGCCCGACACCGGCCCTCTGTATAGGGGCAAAACTTTGTCCATTCTAAATGACCGTTTCCTCCTTCTCTCCAGGACACTGGGCATTAGCTGGACATCAGCCTGTTCAGGGGAGCTCAGGCTTGAGACAGAAATGAGGAAGCACAGAGGTCAAAGGCTCCTTCCTGGTAGGAGCAGGGAAGGAATGACTTCCCCAGAGGGCAGGGAAAGAGAAAAAACAAAGAATGGCTTCCCCCACTATAGCTCCAGAAACCTCATTTTCATGGCCCCTACTACTTAGGGAACTGGGAGTTTGTGCCAGTTAGTGGTGGCTCCCCAGTACGTAATCTGAAGGCCTGGGGTGGGGGTAACGAGGGGAGTGTAGGGATCACTCCTATTCATTGATGCTTCTCATGGCTAATGTGCTGGTCAAGGCATTTTAATGTTTTCGCTTACAGAATCTGCAAACACTCATTTAATTGGGTCTAATCACGATTTCTATCTTACAGATGAATAAATAGAGGCACATACAATGATAATAAAAATTCGAATAGTAATAACAATGATACCTTTTTTTTTTTTTTTGAAACAGAGTTTTGCTTTTGTTGCCCAGGCTGGAGTGCAATGGCATGATCTTGGCTCACTGCAACCTCCACCTCCTGGGTTCAAGGGATTCTGTTACCTCAACCTCCCAAGTAGCTGGGATTACAGGCACGCCACACCATGCCCGGCCAATTTTTGTATTTTTAGTAGAGACGGGGTTTCACTATGTTGGTCAGGCTGGTCTTGAACTTCTGAATGCCTTAGTCTTCCAAAGTTCTGAGATTATAGGCATGAGCCACCATGCCCAGCCCAACAATGATAAAATTTTAACAGCTTTTTTTTTTTATTTTTTTTATTTTTTTATTTAGAAAGAGATGAGGTCTCACTATGTTGCCCAGGCTGGTCTCAAACTCTAGACCTCAAGTGATCCTCCCACCTTGGCCTCCCAAAATGCTGGGATTATAGGCCTGAGCCACTATGCCCAGGCTTTAGCAGCTCTTTTTTCTCTCTCTCTCTATTATTATTTTTTAAATCAGGCAGCCTCCCAAGCCAAAGTAGGCTTAGAGAGACTCCGAAAGAGCTTTTAAAAAAGAATCGACCCAGTGCCAGGCTTGGTGCAAGCACATGACATATATGGTATTATTAAATCCTATGAATTCATCATAGTATTCCCATTTTTAGCTAAGGAAACAATCTGAGCAAGAAGTGACTTCACCAAGGTCACGGAGTCTTAGAAAATGACCAGGCCAGGAGCCAAACACACTTCCCTCTGATTCCAACCAATGCAGCCTGTGCAGCTGATCCCTTGGCAAGACTGCCTCCCAAGGGGAGCAGGGTAGAGCAAGCAGGTGGTGATGGAGGAGGGTCCCACTGGCCTTTGAAAGCAGGAGAACCCTTGCTCATGGGCTGGGCCAGGAGCTGTAGCATCTGACATTCTGGGAAATTGTGGAGAATCCCTCCTCTGCCCTACTCCATCCCCACCTGACAGGGAAGGAAGCTTTGATGCTATTTTCTCGCCCACAGGGGATTGGGCTGTGTAAAACAAACTCACAGCCTGCAGCAAAACAGATCCTGGAACAGCCCAAACAGAAAGGCAGGGGCTGTTTACTCTGGCCCAAAGCCCCTGCCTCCCTGCTCATCTCAGACGTGTCCCTCCACCTTGGCGTTCTGTCTGGGCTTCCTGTCAGTCCGAGCTCTCTCTATCCTCACTGTGAATCTTACAGTGCTGCAGTTGCCTTGGTAACATGATAGGAAGCTCTTGAGGTTTTCTGGAACCAGAGAGGGCTGTGGAGGGAGGACTCAGGCTCTGCTGAGCTGCTTGTCGCAAAGGGAAGAAACCACTTCAGTGCGCCCTGCTCCTGCCAGCCAGCCAGCCAGTCCTTCCTTGGTTCTGACCTCAGCCTCTTCTGTTGCATCTGCAGGAGCTTTGTTTGGGTGGCCTTTGGGGCTGGGCCCCAGAGGCGGGAGCTGTCGCATACCGCTCTGTCCTTGGAGTTGACTGCCACTGTCACCAGAGCTAAATTCCTGCTTGCTCTCATGACCTGGCCCTGTAGCCCTCATTGGTTTTATGAAGTTCAATGCCTGTTTTTTATGAGACAGATAATTATGGTACAGGGAGGTCAGGTCCTCCTCTGCTGGACCTGGCAGGGTCTCCAGAATTGCTGATTCTTCAATCAGCTCCCAGAGGCTGATGGGATCAGGGTGAGCCGGGGGCAGCCAGGCAGTAGAAAGAGAGTGAGTCTCGACCTTCCAGTCTCTGACGGGATCAGGGAGGAGAACATGCACCGCCTGCCCCGTGAAGAAGCCCACGCCTGTAAGGTGGGCAGCCGTGATGCCGTCCCTTGTGGGTATGAGGGATAACAGGCAGTAGCGGGGGAGGGTGGCTCTCCCAGAGGTCTGGGGCAGCTCCCTCAGGCCGAGGGGAATCCAACATGGGGCTGCCTGTGGCTGCGCCAAGAAATCCTCAAATCTTTGACACTATGGGCACCCCGTGAAAATGTTTTTTTCCTGCGTCTCTCTTTCTAGTCTTCTTCCTTTCCTTTCTCCCACAGTCTCAGTTCGAAATATGGCCTATTTCCTCCCTATGTTTATGTTAGTTTCCATAACTGGTCTGTCTCCCTGCCCCCACCTACCATCCCTCCCCAGGTGAGAGTTGATTGGCTTGCCCTGGAGGGCAGTTCTACTCACTGCCTCAAGCTGCCACAGGCACGGGTGGAGACGGAGGGGTGGGGCAGGGCAAGCCGCTCTGCTGACACTTGGATGGCTCCCCTCCAATCCTAGCCAGGAAGAGCATGGCAGGTAGAGGCTTCAGTGTTTCTCTCCAGGCTGGAAGCAGCTGTCCACAATTGTGCCTCCCCGATGGGATGAGAGCTCGGCCCATCCCTAGACCACAGACACAGCTGTGTCTGACCCACTGATGACAGACACAGAACTGCACTTTCAGACTGAGCCAGTTGCTGGGTATGGCTGTGGGTCAGGATGGCCTGAGGAAGACCCTTACCCATTCCACAGATTACCAAGCTCCCAGCTTCCCTTGCTTTCTGACTCAGTGGCCAATTCCTCAGGAGTTGCCTCTTCTTTACAGTAAGTACCATCATGCAGGAAAGAAGGGAGGGGTGAGACTGGAGCCCAGGGCCAAAGGGCCTGGGGTCCCTGACTGCAGAGGCCAGCTCCTCTCTACCCCTCCTCCATTCAATTAGCTAATGTCTGTAAAGGGCTGGGTGATGGAAAAGCCCTATACAAATGTTGAGCACAATTTCATTTCCAAGACTAGACAAGAATATATTTGCAGACTTGAGCAAAAGGTCACTGGGCCTGCCTGGGACAGAGGGAGGACTCCCTGTTGGCCCCAGAGGGAGGATGCCCCTGAGAGACTGGGGCAGGGAAAGGAGAGGCCACAGTGAGGGCTGGCATGCCTGCCTCCTTGGCCTTCAAGCTGGGTATCTTGGTACCATGCTTGCTTTACACTGTCCCCTGTTTCTTCTGAATCCCAGGGTCCTAGAAGCTGAGCCCTCTCTGCAGGGACCACCCTCAGAGACTTTCCACCAGAAGATTATGCTAATATCCACAACAGCTGATATTTATTGATTATTCACTCCATGCCAGGCTATTCTAAAGGGGCTGGAGCTCTCCAGCTGGGGGAGAGGTGGCTGTCTCTCTGCAGCAGGTGAAGGAGCTTTTCCAGTGAGGGGAACCCCCTGCACGCTGCAGGCTCTGTCTGAAATCTCTCTGAAACCTTTGGGAGGTGGGTATCACTTACTTTCTCTGACCAATGAGAACAGTTCCGGCTTTTGTGATCTCCCAAGTCCCTAGCGTGTATGTTCTGTGAACTTCTGATTTCTCCTCTCTTTTCCCCACTGACAACTCACCTGGCTCTACTCTTATTATGAAAGAATATTGAGGCCAATTAGCTTTGACAAGCTCCATGCCCAAGGGGCAGCTTTCCAGTTTCTGGTGCTCCAAGACCTGCTCAGGCCACCTATGTGACTCTGCCCATTCAGAATTCTTGGAGCAGCTTCCTCTTTCGTCTCTGGGCAGGACCTGGCTTTGGGCCAGGGACAGAGTGGAGAAGACTGGGAGAGGGGAATAGCCCCGTAGTCAAGGGGAGTGCTTTGGGAGGGTGCGAGGAACGGCAAAGCAGGGAATGGCAGGTTCAGGAAGGGGCAGGCGGAACAGGGAAGGGAAATGGAGAATGTGTTCCCAACATCCCCTGGGGTTCCTCTGTCCCTGTCTCCTTCACCCTCTTCCCTCTCTGAAAGCTGAACGGAGCTGGCTGGCCTTTCTGGGAGGCATAGTCCTCTAGCCTCCAAACGCTGCCAGCCTCCTCTCTGTCCCCGACTGCTCCTTCTCTGGCTTCTCTCCAGAGCCCAGGGCCTCCCTGTGTCATCAGTTCATTATCATTCTGATAAAAGTCATTAGTCCTTGAAAAAGCATGACTCCCCAGCTGAGGCCAGCCCCCACCCCCAACCTGGGGAGGAATACAGATGGATGGAGACTTGGGGGTGGGGACAGACACAGAGGCACAAACACAGTGACACTTGTTTCCAGGGGATGTGTAAATGGACACAAACCCACTGGTGCTCACGGCCACATACCTTACACACGGGCCCAGGAATGTCTCACGTGGTCACCAGAGAGCCCACTGGGCCGTGTCACTGGGGCCACGCTCAGCTGCTTCCAGTCCCAGAGAATCACTCAACACTGAGACCCAGCGCCCAGCAGCCTCAGCCTCCTGGAAACACAGAGGCCGGACTTGGCAGACTCTGGGGACGGAAGCAGGGAGTGGAATATGGAGGCCAAGGTTAGAGATTTCTGAGTTCCATTAGTCACAAGAAGCGTGTCCTGAATCTAAAAGTGCAGGGACAAGTGCACCCCAGAGCCGATTCTAGACAGTGCGTCTCCATTTCCCACCCCTTCCACTGCCGGGAAGCTCCTCCCTGTCAGCAAAGCCATTTAGGGATTAGAGCGGCTCCCTCAGTAAAAGCTGCTTATTCAAAAGGTGCTTTCAGTTCATTTGCATTCACTTCATGGATATTATACTTCGTGGAGGAGCTTCCTCCTCAGTCCCTCTTTGCTGTCCCCAGGTTGAGTCCCTGGCCCAGGCAAGGTGTCGGTTTGGGCTGGGCCAAGCTTTCCAGCAACCCGGGGCTCTTGTCAGGGAGTGTTTACCACTTCGGTAAACACTGGCCGTTAACCCCTGGTCCTCGGAAGGCAGCTCCAGGGACAGCTAGGAAGGGTCACAGCTGGAGTTTTCTCAAGGGAGAGGAAGGGGACTGGGGCCTCTCAGTTCCCCTGGGGTGGTGAGCCTGGTCTCCTAGGCAGGGAGGAATCTGCCCAGCTGCTATCTGCCAATGGGGCTGCCATCAGGGAGCAGGCAGAGTCAGCCTCAGCTTCCAAGACTTTCTCTTTGGCAGCCACCCCACCCTGTCTCCATGCATTCAGTTCATTCAAAGTGTATTTAATATCATGATGTGTGAAGCCTGATGCTAAGTACCTGGAATACAGTGTTGATCAGGCAACGGCCCCTGCCTTCACAGAGATTCCAGTCCAGGAGTGAAAGAAAATCCACAAAAAATGAAGACATCAGACAATATAGAATTTTAAATGATAATTAGTAGTATAAAGTGAACAAACAGGGCACTTAGATAGAAGGTAATAGGTCAGGGTGGGGGGACCTTCTTCAGATGGGGTGATCAGCAAATGGTGGTGACATAACACACCTGCAATTGAGGCTGCAGGGAGACATCTTTGCGCCACTGCACTCCAGCCTGGGTGACTGTCTTCAAAAAAAAAAAAAAAAAAAAGGAAGGAAGAAAAAGAAAAATAATAATTTGTTTCTTCTTTGTGGGTTTTTTTAAATGTTTTTGTTTTTGTTTTTGTTTTGAGACAGTCTCACTCTGTTGCCGGGCTGGAGTTCAGTGGTACTACCTCAGCTCACTGCAACCTCCTCTGGGGTTCAGGAGATTCTCCTGCCTCAGCCTCCCAATTAGCTGCGATTACAGGCACGTGGCACCACGCCCAGCTAATTTTTTTTTAATTTTAATTTTTATTTTTTTTTAATTTTTTTTGAGACGGAGTTTCACTCTTGTTACCCAGGCTGGAGTGCAGTGGCGCGATCTCGGCTCACCGCAACCTCCGCCTCCTGGGTTCAGGCAATTCTCCTGCCTCAGCCTCCTGAGTAGCTGGGATTACAGGCACATGCCACCATGCCCAGCTAATTTTTTGTAGTTTTAGTAGAGACGGGGTTTCACTATGTTGGCCAGGGTGGTCTTGATCTCTTGACCTCGTGATCCACCCGCCTCGGCCTCCCAAAGTGCTGGGATTACAGGCTTGAACCACCATGCCCGGCTATTTTTTGTATTTTTAGTAGAGATGAGGTTTCGCCATCTTGGCCAGGCTGGTCTCAAACTCCTGATCTCAGGTGATCCACCTGCCTTAGCCTCCCAAAGTGCTGGGATTATAGGCATGAGCCACAATGCCCAGCCAAGAATTCCTTTTTTTTTTTTTTTGAGGCAGGTCTCCCTCTGTCGCCCAGGCTGGAGTGCAGTGGTGTCTCTCGGCTCGCTGCAACCTCTATCTCCCAGGCTCAAGCAATTCTTCTGCCTCAGCCTCCCGAGTAGCTGGGATTACAGGTGTGTGCCACCACACTCGGCTAATTTTTTTTGTATTTTTAGTAGAGATGGAGTATCACCATGTTGGCCAGGTTGGTCTTTAACTCCTGACCTCAGGTAATCTGCTTGTTTCCGCCTCCCAAAGTGCTGGGATTATAGGCATGAGCCAACACACCTGGCGAATTTCTTTCTTGATTTGTCCTTTTATCACCTTAAAAGTGCATCGTAGGATTTCCCATCACAGCTCAGGGGAAAGCCATGGCTGCGCTTCTTCATCCCCAGATCAGCATATGGGGAGGGCACTGTCTTTTGGACACTCCAGTGAATGTGCCTACCTGCCTGCTCTGGCACATCTGACAGGGCTGGGAAGAAGCTGCTATTTTGGAGGAGGGGTCAGTTTCAATGCCTTCCCATCCATTGGTCTGGAGCATGTCCACAGTTCTGTAACTGGGGAGTGTCCAGTTCAGGCCTGGCTGAGTCAGGTAGATGCAGAGCCGTCCACCCCTCTCCCTAAGCCAGGGATCCAGAGATCTTAGAGCCAACTCCAGTTTCCCTGCTGCTGCTTCTCCCACCATCAATCAGGGACTGGGATGTCAGAGTCAGGACTTGGGGAAGCAGGCCACTCACAGCCTGAACCACCCCCAGGGACACAGGAATATGAGACGAGGATCCCGAGCGCGAACATTTACAGGTAGCATTCAGGATTGAAAACTGATTTATAGTCTGAAGGCAGGCAGGAGGAAGCAGAGGAAGGTGGGAGCTCTGTGTACAGTGCAGCCTTGTGGGACAGTGGTAATTATATATTACATTGAACTGTCCTTGCAGCGCAGTGAAGGGCAGTGGGAATGAGACTCTAAATCACGCTTCCCTGATGCTCCCATAGCTCACCTCCCTGTGATGTGGCCCCAGAGCCCAGGGCTGACACTTCTCCCTTCTCCCAGCCCCCTCACCACAGACACACCACACATAGCCTGGTGGCGGTGGCCAGACTGACTGGGGGAGAGCAGGAAGATGGGATGTTAGCAACTCTGGCAGCTTCCAGGGGCTGCTCATCCTGCAGGCCTGTGTTTATTGCCCGCCCCCACCCCCAGCACTTCCCACTCTATACCCTACCCCACCTCTTCCACTGGGGCCTGCATGTGGGCTGTGTTGATTGGAGAAGACACCTTGTCCTCTCTTCATTCATTCTCCCCTGCAGCATCTCCTCTACACCACAGCCTCACAGCCTCACAGCCACTGCCTTCGTTCATGTGGGGCCTCATCTCTTCTCACCTGGATTTCTACCACCATCTCCTAACTGGTCTCCTTCTAGTGTGGCCACCCTACTCCTGGTCCATCATCCTTTACCTTGTTGCCATGGTGATCTCCCTAAACACATCTCTGACCATAATCTTGATTTCGTTTGTCTGGGAAGTGGGGATTGTCTTTGCTGATACGATAGCTTTGTGCTCATGAGATATTATTATATATTTTTGAGACAGAGTCTCACTCTGTCTCCCAGGCTGGAGTGCAGTGGTACGATCTTGGCTCACCACAACCTCTGCCTCCTGGGTTCAAGCGATTCTCCTGCCTCAGCCTCCCAAGTAGCTGGGACTACAGGTGTGCACCACCACACCTGGCTAATTTTTGTGTTCTTAGTAGAGATGGGATTTCACTGTGTTGGTCAAGCTTGTCTCAAACAACTGACCTCAAGTAATGTGCCTGCCTCAGCCTCCCAAAGTGCTGGGATTATAGGCATAGTCCACCACACTTGACCATGAGCTAATATTATTGTAATTAGATGTCTCTAAGCCTCAGTTTACTTGCCTGTAAGGAGTGGGGTGAAGTGGTTAAACATTGGTTCCTGAAAGGCAACACATTCCAGCTTCTTTAAGAAGTCTCCCCAGGCTCTTGGCGGGCTGGTGCCTGCTGGCTCACCGCCTGCCCTGCACTCTCAGTCCAGGAGGAACACTGGTACTCATCTGTCCCGAGGGGCCATCTCCATGACTGGACCCTGGCCCTTAGGGTCAGTTAACCTGGACTTCCCAGCAATCTCCTGCCTCTCCCTCTAGGCCAGGCGTCCCCAAACTACAGCCCGCGGGCTGCATGCGGCCCCCTGAGATCATTTATCCGCCCCCCCACCACCACACTTCAGGAAGGGGCACCTCTTTCACTGGTGGTCAGTGAGAGGAGCACAGTATGTGGCGGCCCTCCAACGGTCTGAGGGACAGTGAACTGGCCCCCTGTGTAAAAAGTCTGGGGACACCGGCTTTGATTTCCTGGTTCAGAGGGATGTGTTAGTGCTTAGTGGTGATGAGAAAGGGGTGGGACAGGTCAGGACTTGAAGTCTAGCCCATGACTGTGCACAGGTATTGGAGTGGTGTGCCGATTGAGAGCAAGGACTCGGCCACCAGCCTGTGTTCAGATCTTGGCTGGACTACTCTTTAGTTTGGCTAGCGCAAGTGACCTAGCCTCTCTGTGGAGTTTCCCTGTTTCTAAAATGAGGATAATAGTTATATCCACCTCATAGAGTTGTTGTGCAGATTAAATGAATGAACACATGCGATTGTTCCTGCTGATACAACAGCTTTGTGCTTTTGAGCGATTATTACTGTAATTAGACTTCTCTGAACCTCAGTTTACTTGTCTGTAACAAATCTCCATATCTTTCCTTCCTGCTTCAGGGTTATTGTGAAGATCAAATGACACATTCCCTTTGGAAACTCTTAAAGGCTTTACAAAGGTAAGGTATTTTTGTTATTTATTATCAGGTCCTTATTCCTTGGTTCTCAGCCACGTTCCCTTTGGAAACAAAGCAGTTTTTTTTGCCCTCTTCTTACCCTAGTCTCAAGGCAGAAAATTGTGGTGTCTTGGAGACAGGAGCAACCATGGGGTCCCCCTCCACCTAGGCAAAGGGGCACATAAGGCTGTGCACACAGACACATCTCTGACAGAGATTATTTCAAAGGAGGCTGCTAATTAAACCAAGAACAGACAGCATGTCAGCATTTTACATAATTATCCCCGTCACTGCAGAGGTGAACCCAGGTTTTGCGGGGCCCAAAACTTGTACAATTTAGGGAGCCCTCTTGTTTTTTGTTTGTTTTTTGAGATGAAGTCTTGCTCTGTCACCCAGGCTGGAGTGCAGAGGCATGATCTCAGCTCACTGCAACCTCCGCCTCCTGGGTTCAAGCAATTCTCCCGTCTCAGCCTCCAAAGTAGCTGGGATTACAGGGGCCCGCCACCACACCCGGCTAATTTTTTGTATTTTTAGTAGAGACGGAGTTTCACCATGGTGGCCATGCTGGTCTCAAACTCCTGACCTCAGGCGATCTGCCCGCCTTGGCTTCCTAAAACAAGCTGGAATTACAGGCATGAGCCACCATGCCTGGCCTGGGGAGCCCTCTTTAAGAAACCAAGTACAAGATTATGAACATGAATTAAGTGCAGGTTTTGGAAGGGGCCTGTATAAATGAGGAGTACTGCCATCGAAGCTTCATCAGCTTCACAGAAAATCCACCTCTGCCACCAGGCCAGGTACACATTTGACAGGACTTGTTGGTCAGTTGCTTATGGCCCAAACAAACCATGGCTACCAACCACAGATAGGCCAGGATCTCTAGAGGACAGGAGTGGGCCAGTCTACACTCAGACTCCAGAAGTCACCTCCTCCACTGCTTTCACCTCAGTCTAATTGTTCCTTTTTCAAGAACCACTGTCTATTTATTGTTGCTTTCAATACATTTGCATGTGATTTACATAGCATTAATATTCCGCCTCATGTTGGGAACTCTTCCTCTGTCCTTCCTTAAGCTAGATTCCTGGGACTTGGTTACCAAGTGAGATTCGACTTCTTCTCTTCTCAAAATGTAGAGGGAAAGAAAGATACAACTAATTTGGGGGAGGGTGGGAGAGGGGACAGTGATGACATTTATCTTGGAGTCAGTTTCTAGTGTCTGTCCTATCTGAATTGTCTTCCTCTGTATATCCCCACTGTCCCTACCCACAACCCAATTCCACCCCAGTTTTCCTCCAATTATAAAATTGGAAGTGCACCTTCTCAAGGACTCACATGCCTACCCAAAAACTGGGCTTATTAGGGCTCAAGGGTGCAGCCTCTAAAGTCAAAAGGCACATGGCATCGAGAAGCCAGCAGACAAGAGCACACAGGGCTTCTTCCTCAGGTCCCCCTCTGGGAGAATCAGCCCCTTCCAGTCCCACTGCACAGTTTGGAGGCCCAGTTTATGTGATACCCTGACTGACGGAAACAGATGGCAGGTGGGAGTATGTGTGAGTATGTGTGTGTGTGTGCGCGCGCGCATGCACGTGAGCTGTACATACATCTAAGAAATGTGCACACATGTGTGAGACAGAGAATGCCCACGTGCACATGAGTATACCCCCCACCTCAAGACAGGCAGAGGAGGAGGAGGAGGAGGAGGTGAAGATGTGGGAAGGAAATTCTCAGTTTAAGTAAACCACATTGTGGTTCTAAATGTCATCAAAGGTGAAACTTGCTTTCCTTGCCCTGCCCTATAAAGGGAGGCAAAAAGAAGCCAGCAAGGCAAGAAAAGATCTCAGGGCAGGGATGTGGCAGCTCCAGGGTCAACAGTGACATCACTCTCCCAGACCCCTCTGTTGAGTCACCAGAGCCCAATCAATACCGCAGTCTTTATGCGGTCATGAACCGGCTCACGCTTCCATCTCCATGTGGCCCAGGCCTTTCCCCCAGGTGCCCTGAGCCTGAGCTACTCCAGCCCTGGGGCTTTGCTCTCTTTTAAGCCTCTATCAGAGAAGGCAGGGATCTCTTCTGTGGGTAAGGCAATCAGAGACACAAGTGAGGAGACAAGAGAAACAGTCTTCTGTGGGCGAAGGGGGTTTGGGAACAGAAGCTGAAAACTTTCAGAGCCAGTCTGAGGAAGAGGCAGAAAAAAGAGAATGGAACAGAGCATGAGAAGAAAAAGAGGAAACAGGGAACTGGAGTTGAAGAAAAGAAGAAGTGGGGTGAGGTGAAGCCGACGGCTGTGAATTCTCACTTCTCAGGATTTTAAGACTGCTACCCCATTTTCCTGGCCCTCCAAGCTTTTATGAGTTCCCCAGACCTAGTGATGTAGGAGGAAGCTCAATATCATAACCAGCACCCCTGGGAGCAGATTTCCAACGTCTGTGGTATCATCACCACCTCCCCTAACATGTCTCAGCTTGGTCCCACCCTCCTTGTCAGAGACAGGGGTTGGAGGGATTAGACGTCAGCAGGGGAAGCAGCTGTGGTGGCTCACATCTGTAATCACAGCACTTTGGGAGGCTAAGGTGGGATTACTTGAGGCCAGGAGTTCAAGACCAGCCTGGGCAAGGTAGTGAGACACCATCTCTATAAAAAAAAAAAAAAGAAAAGAAAAGAAACTGGGCGCTGGGCTTGGTGGCTCACACCTGTAATTCCAGCACTTTGGGAGGCTGAATTGGGCAGATCACGAGGTCAGGAGTTCAAGACCACCCTGACCAACATAGTGAAACCCTGTCTCTACTAAAAATACAAAAAAAAATTAGCTGGGCATGGTGGTGTGTGCCTGTAATCCCACCTACTCAGGAGGCTGAGGCAGGAGAATCGCTTGAACCCAGGAGGCAGAGGTTGCAGTGAGCTGAGATCGTGCCACTGCACTCCAGTCTGGGTGACAGATTAAGACTCCTTCTCAAAAAAAAAAAAAAAAAGAAAAAAGAAAGAAAGAAAGAAAGAAAAAAGAAAAAAAAAAAAGAAAAGAAAAAAAGAAATGGGCTGGGAGCAAAAAGTGAGAGGCACAAAAGGCAGGCAGTACCCACTGGGGCAGCTCTGGTTCCTCTCTTGGGACCTCAGTTTTTTCCCAAGACCTTGGCACCTGCCCAACCATTGTTCCTTCTGGCCTGGCCCTCATGCTCAGTGGCAGCCTGAGCGTCATCCCTTGTCACTGATGGGAATCGGAACAGGGGCTCCTTTATCTGACAGTGAGAAAGACTCTGCCCAGTCTCTGTGACTCTAATTTTCCAAGATGCTGCTTATTGCTGTTGTAAACTGAGATGCTCCAAGGAAATCAAAGCCTATATCTGAGTCAACAAGATGGCACCAGAGTGGTAAGGCTAGGCTCTCATAAGATCACAGATGGCTTCTGGTAGAGACCCCTGTCTGGGGATTTCTTCCCCTCCTCACTGTGGTTGCCTGTCTCTACAAACAAGAAAGTCTTCTCTTCAATTCCCACTTCTTGACTCTCTATCACCAACATAGTGATAACAATAATAGCAACCATTTACTGGGTGCCTAATATATGCCAGAAAACTTGGTGAGTTTCTTTCTCTCTCTCTTTCTTTCTTTTGAGGCAAAGTCTCCCTTGCTGCCCAGGGTGGAGTGCAGTGGTGCGATCATAGCTCACTGCAACCTCAGACTGCCTCCTCAGCCTCCCAAGTAGCTGGAACCATAGGCATTTAACACTGCACACAGCTAAGTTTTAAATTTTTAGTGGAGGTAAGGTCTTGCCATGTTGCCAGGCTGGTCTTGAACTCCTAGCCTCAAGCAGTTCTCCCACTTTGGCCTCCCAAAGTGTTGGGATTGCAGGCATGAGCCACAGCACCTGGCTGGTAAGTTTCTTATGTACATTATTTCATTGAATGCTGCGACAACACTATGGAATAATCACCATTGTGGAGCGTGGAGGAGGAAACCGAGGACTCCAGAAGTTGCCTAAGATTTCACAGCTTGAGATGGAGCTGAAATGTGAACCCAGATCTGTCTAAATTCAAATCCTCGGCTTTCCACTTTGCTTATTTTTATCTTCCCTGCCCCAACAATGCATCCTCCTTTTGGGTTTTGAGGTGCAATTCAAATCTGTTATCTCCCAGAAGTATTCCTTCCTCCTCCCTACCTCAGCTCTCGCTCCCACCTGCAGCATCCTTAGGAGGCCCCTGTGCTGCCCTTCCTGCTGGCTCACGTTAGATTTGGAGTTCCGCCTGTGGTCCCTGGGATTGAGGTGGTGAAGAAGAGAGCGGTCAGGCCCTCAGTTCCCACTCTCCAGGGAGAAAGAGGAGGGGAAGGTGAGTGTGCCTGGCGTTTCACACAAGGAACAGCCATATGCAGTTGTTGGAGAGGTTTAGGGGCCTGCAATGCCTTGGGATCTGGTTCCCATGGAGAGATACCTGGCCAGGCTCCAGAGCCCCACAAATGGGAGTAAAAGAATGTGGAAAACTACCGGGTCCTCCAGGGAGCTGGGACTGGGGCAAAGGTGAAACAAGAGCTTCTTTTCTGCCTGGGCCTGTGTCCCTAAGAAGACTGGTGCTGTTGTTTGCCCACAGGAAAGTCGCAATTTCTAATGCTTGAGACAGAGGCAGCCTTCATTTCCAAACCTGTGTCCCTCAGGGAAGGGGATCGGTTTTAGGCCTTGGAAGCTTCCCAGGCACCTCCTGATGAGCTTGATAAAAACAGTGTACAGCTATGGCTTTCAGGCTGTCCCAGAGCCACCTACTACCAGAAACCATCTCCAGCCCACGTTCTAGAACTCCGCTGGAACACCCCGTAGACCAGATATCCCTCAGAGACTCTGTGAGCGAGTGAGGAAGAGCTCTGCAAAGAGAAAGAGAGCAGGGCAAAGACAGCTGGATGTGCTGGCTCAGGAAGAGGAGCAGCCAGGCAGGGACAGAGAGTGAAAACGCGGGTTTGGAGCAACACAGTGGAGAACAGCCACCCTCCCTTCCCTGGGGCCGGGGCACAAGCATGGCAAG